CAGGTTGTCCCACATTCATCGATCATCATCGATCAAGACTGTGAGTATCCAGATTCAACATTACAGTGCACTGCTAATCCTGTTCAAGCAGAACTCGATTACCGACATGGTGAGTGCATATATGCACATATCTTCAGTATTGCGCGTGCCATCTCAGCTGTGTCTGATGTCCAATTGTAAGTAGGTGTCACTGCGCTGGCGGCTATGGGTACGAGTTGATTAGGTTAGGGTTGATTGGGCCGGTCTGTATGATATATAGAGAAGTTTAGACGTAGCGTAGAAGAGTCGCCGTTTGAATATATTCATTTCGATCTAATTCGTTCTGGCTGCCAATATCGGGAGGAATACTAGGTGCCAAGCCGGGCACCAAGAATGGATATTAATAATAAGCTACAAAGTCGTATATCCTATTTGATCCCATGTTACACAGGGTGCGGAATGTCTAAGTAATATGTGGGGAACATGGTCGGAATGTGAGCGGAAGGCAGTCAATACCACGACATCCTCTAAACCTGCGGAATGTGGTGGGAACAAGCTGGGAATGTGGCGGTAATGTGCTCATCCTCTCCGTGTTCCCCAACCTCCGTAATCTGGCGCTTCACGCGGTGCAAAGCATTCACGGCTTTTCGCAACTTGCGATATTTCTTACGCCCTCTCTAGGCTCACGCGACGCTGCAGGTTCACGTGCCACATCGGTCGCGTACTCGTACCGTGCATCATCTCACCCTTGTCCAGGGATGCTGAAGGCACATGTGTCGGCCATGCTGCAGCGAGCAAAGGAATCAGTCGCACAATTGACCACAGTTAGCTGAGTTCTTGTTCGGTCTAAACGTGCCTAGACCTGATAGCCGATCTCCTCGTATAATCTCTCCTTCCTCATTTTCAACGCTGATGTGTGCACAACAGGCTAAGAACGCATATCAGGCAGGATGCCCATTGAGTACTGATGTGAGGATGTACGTCAATTGTGCTTCCTTGCCCACGGCGTGTGGGCCAGGTCACATTGCAGGCCATCTGACTGACGCTCAGCGTGGTCCACTCGAATGCTGCGCGACCGAAGCGCATACGCACGAGGTCATCGACTACAGGCGTCTGACTGCCGTCACAGCCTGATCGTAGCACCCCACACTACTTATGGCCGACGGCCTTCTTGCGATTCGGAATCAACTCGGCGCAGAGTATTTGATTAGAGTAGGAGTCTCCACAGCCCTTCGCCATCCTCTTCGAGCCCTTGCACGCGTCTCGCAAGGCTACCATGTACTCTCGGACCCTCCTTGTGGCAGGGGCCGCCCTGCTTGGGCCTGTCTTGGGCGCGTCGTGGACCGCGACCCCCTTCAATCCCGCCTCTGTCCCATTGGCCGTCCGTACGCCCTACCTGTCAGCCTGGCTAGCCCAAGGCGCCGGCACTGCTTTGAACGACGCTTGGCCTACTTTCTGGACTGGCAGCGTGAGTAGCCCCAACATGTCCGTTCTGCCGCAAAAGTCTAAAATGTCGCGGTCGCTAGATCCTCGGCTGGGCAGGCTACGTGAAGGTCGACGGCACGACTTACACCTGGCTTGGCGTTCCTAATGTAGCCGGGCCGTCCAAGGCTACACAAAAGAGCTTCCAGGTTGGTTTTCACGACAGCGAAGTCGATAGCGTGTGTGTATGCTTATGGGCGCCGCGTTGTGTAGTTCACCTCAACGCAGAGCATCTTCACGCTCAGTGCCGGCCCGGTCGATCTCACCGCGACCTTCCTCAGCCCCGTTGAGGTACGCTCGTATATGCCCAGCAGATGATTCGGTACTCAACCTTCGTGTCATAGCCCTCCGATCTCGTCAACCAATCTCTTCCCTTCTCATACCTCGCTGTCTCCGTCAAGTCTAATGATGGTAACTCGCACAACGTCCAGGTCTACACCGACATCTCCGCGGAGTGGGTCACCGGCGACAACAGCCTGGTGGCAAACTGGACTACCACCACTGGGAATGTCCTAACGCATCAGGTTCAGCTCTCGTCGCCGAGCGTCTATAGCGAGGTCAGCGACCACACCCAATGTGAGTGTTACTTGTGTCGTGGACTGTAGGGGTCGCTGATACCCTCTCACAGACGGTTCTGCTTACCATGCGACTTTGAATGTACGTCCTTCAACTGAGATGTGGATGCGACCAGCACATGCTCATCATCTGTCTTTATGGCATTTCCCTAGACCGTGGGTGCAACATGGCAGTCGGGCCAGGACATCGTAGTCCGCCAACAATTCATCAGTAATGGCGCCCTTGCGAACACCGCGGACACCAACTTCCGCGCAGTCTCCAACAACTGGCCCGTCTTCGGTTTCGCACACAACCTCGGCACCGTCGGCACATCCGCGACTGCGCCTGTCGTCTTCGTCGTCGGCCACGTGCGTGACCCCGCCATCCAGTACATCACGGCGAACAACGGTCGGCAAGACCGCTCCGTCCTCTTCTGGACTCGGTTCAGCACCGTCTCGAGCGCGATTTCTACCTTCATCAACGACTACGCGAATGCTCTCGCCCGCGCCAACGCGTTCGATGCCAAGGTCAAGAGCGATGCCTCCAAGATCTCCTCGGACTACGCCGATATCGTCGCCCTCTCCGTCCGCCAGGCTCTTGGTGCCATCGAGATCACCGTCTCGAAGGACTCGACGGGCAAGTTCAACACTTCCGATATCACGACTTTTTTGAAGGAGATCTCCTCTGACGGCAACGTCAACACTGTCGATGTCGTCTTCCCCTCATGGCCCATCTTCCTCTACACGAACCCGGTGATCGGCAAGCAGCTGCTCTTGCCGCTCTTCGAGTACCAGGCGACCGGTCAGTATCCGAACAAGTGGGCCGTGCACGACATGGGCTCATCGTACCCCAAGGCGGTCGGCCACAACGACGGCCAGGACGAGGCGATGCAGGTCGAGGAGTCCGGCAACATGCTCATCATGGCGCTCTCGCACGCGCAGAAGTCGGGCGACAACTCCCTCCTGAAGACGTACTACAGTCTCCTTGACCAATGGACGCAGTACCTGATCCAGGACTCGCTCATCCCCGCGGAGCAGCTGTCGACGGACGACTTCGCGGGCAAGCTGGCGAACCAGACGAACCTGGCGATCAAGGGCATCGTCGGCATCGCAGCAATGTCGAAGATTGCGGGCATTGTCGGGGACACGGCGAGGGCGAGCAACTACTCGTCCATCGCGGCGAGCTACGTGCAGCAGTGGCAGGGCTTCGCGCTCTCGAGCGACAAGACGCACTTGACGCTCGCGTACGGCAACAGCTCGTCGTGGGGCCTTGCGTACAACTTGCTGGCCGACAAGCTCCTCGGCACGAACGTCTTCCCGAAGTCTATTTTTGACCTTCGTCAGTTTCAGTTCTCTGTGCCACTCGTACGCAAGGCTGACATTGCACATCGACTTGCAGAGACGCAGTGGTACTCTAGTCACGCCCTTTCGTACGGTGTCCCCCTCGATACTCGGTGAGTGGTCTTGCACATACATTGCTTGCTTCCACGATATCGACCTCTTCTCTCCAGCCACACGTACACGAAGTCTGGTGAGCAAGCTGTGCCCGCGCTATGTCGTTACCATCGTCACTAATCGACTTTCCTAGACTGGGAGATTTGGACGGCGGCCCTTGTGACGTCAACCAGCGTCCGCGACTTGCTCGTTAGCTCGGTTCGCAAGTACGCCGCGGATGGCAAGAGCTCGCAGCCGCTCGGGGACTGGTACGAGACTGCGGACGGCTCCGTCGAGGGATTCCGTGCGCGCCCCGTTGTCGGCGGTCACCTTGCCCTGGTAAGTATCAGGCCGTGCTCTGGTGCGCGGGCCAGTCGAAGTGCTGATCATGCTCATTTACAGCTCATCGTGTGATGGATACACGGTATATGGCCGGTGAACATGCTACACGCCGCAATCTATGATGATGCATGATTGCAAGTTCATGAGGACAGGGACGATGACTGTACTAATAGCAGATTGTACAATCGGCACTTGTGTAAATATACCGAAGCGAAAGCTGCCCTGCAGCCATTTGCCTGTGATTTCGTGCACGCTCGTAACGCGGCTGGAGTCACGCTCGAATACTCGACGGGTCGCGCGAGAGACGGCGGCGTGCGAAGTGCTCGTGCGAGACGGTCCCTGCCACTAGTCTCCACCTATGCAATCTGTTGCCTCGGGTCGCTTGCGGCCGTGGAAGGGCAGGGAGCGTCCGCGCGATCTCGGGAGCCAGAAGGCCCGGAGGTTGGGTTCAGATACTCGAGCGATCGGTGGCCGATACCGAGGTCGAGGAACTGACGTCGCCTCGCAAGATCGATGCAAGCTGAGTGGGTCGAAGAAATCTGCTGTCCAGTCGCTCCTTCCCCTTCCATGCAGATGAGCGAGGCATGTCGCCCGGTCGAAACAGTTTCTGTGATGCGAGCGCCGCATCGCCGCATTAATGATTGTGGCCCCCGCTGCAAACGGACGTTGGGACACACGGCGGCTGAACACGGTCATGTGACCGGGCGATGGGGGGGGGGGGCATGATCGCGCTGGTGGCAGGCGGAGGATGGCGTCGGACACGTCCCGAACAGCATCCGCAATGCGTCTTTAAGCAACCACCGCCATCGCCCATCGCTCTCACCGAAGTTCGCCACAATCGACGGTCGCCACGTCTCCCGCGACTTTCAGAATCATTGCCGTCCTCGCCATGGGTAAACGAGCGCGCAGCCTGTCTTCCTCGCCGCACCTGGCCCCAGCGAACGGTGCGACGAAGAAGAAGCGAGAAGTGAATTTCTCCCCCAATAGGATCGCGACAGCAGAGCATGCGGCCAAGGCGGATGCCTCCCCACCCCTCTTCCAGCTCGTCGATGCCGTCCACCGCAACGTCGATAACCCGCCCAATGGTGAGTGCGTCGTGTACTGGATGAGGATGGAGGACCTTCGGAGTGAGTACGACCGCTCTTGGTAGGGAGATGATGCGACTTACCAAGTGCCGCCATACAATTCAGTTCGCGACAACAGAGCCATTGCTCAAGCATCCGCGCAGGCGCGGAAGGACAGCGTCCCACTCATAGTGCTACACGTTCTGAGCCCCCAGGACTACATCGCGCATGACCGCAGCGCTCGCAAGATCGATTTCGTGCTGCGCAACCTGCAAATAATCCGCGTAAGTCATCAGCCACTGATGAATGCATAACTAGATCTGATCCCCCTTCGCGCAGTCCAGACTCAGCGAGTTGGACATACCTTTGTACACCGTCTCACACGAGCCCCGCACGAAGATACCCGCCTTCATACACGGCCTGCTGCAACAGTGGAAGGCTTCGCACCTCTTCGCAAATATGGAGTACGAAGTGGACGAGCTCCGCAGGGACATCGCACTTTCGGGGATTGCAAGAAAACACGGGAAGGTATCTTGCACGTTCCTACACGACCGGTGCATCGTCCCGCCCGGAGAGGTGACAACCAAGGACGGACGTGGATACACTGTACGCGTCCATTCTAGCTATCAAAGAAGTGACCCTGTACTTATATAACCGCCAGGTTTACTCGCCGTTCCTCCGCACGTGGAAGTCTACTATCGACCAAGCCACCTCGGATTATATAGGGGAAGCACCGTTGCCGGTAGCGAACGACCCCGCTGTGCGATCGCATCCCGTGTACAGCAACCTCTTCGATGTCGAGGTCCCACACGAAGTTGAAGGATTTACGCTTGACCCCAAAGTGCGCGAGAGGATGGCTTCCTGTTGGCCTGCAGGGGAAGATGCAGCGCATGAGGTGAGTAATGGTCGTGCTCAGACGATGCGCAAAAATGGGACTGACGTCGAACAACGTTCCAAGGTGTTGCGCCGTTTCCTCGAGACCATGTCACGAACGTCTCATCTAGGTGTCACCGATCCGTTAAGCGAAAGTGCGAAGATGGCGAAGAATCCGTCAACACAGAGTCGCTTGGGCAAGTACAACGACCAAAGGGACCGGGTGGACGCAGATACGACCAGTCGCATGAGTCCATACCTCGCTGCCGGCGTTATTTCCGCGCGTACCTGCGTTCGCGAGGCACTCGAAACGTGCGGGAAGAAGAAAGTCGATATCAGCCGTGACACAGGCGTCGGGCGCTGGATACAAGAGATCGGTGCGTCGGACTCCATTCCTCTGATAAAGTCCTGACTGGGGCTGACGGGGATATGCAGCGTGGCGCGACTTCTACAACCACATCCTCGCGTTCTTCCCACGCGTGTCCATGGGACGACCCTTCCTGGAGAAGTACGCGCACATCCAGTGGGAGACGAACGAGGCGCACCTCCAGGCGTGGAAGGACGGCCGCACGGGCGTCCCGGTCGTCGACGCGGCGATGCGCCAGGCGAACACGATGGGCTGGATGCACAACCGCGGCAGGATGATCGCGGCGATGTACCTGACGAAGGACCTGCTGATCGACTGGCGGCTGGGGGAGCGGTACTTCATGGAGGTGCTCATCGACGGGGACCTGGCGTCGAACAACGGAGGCTGGCAGTGGAGCGCGAGCACGGGGGTCGACCCTGCGCCGTACTTCAGGATCTTCAATCCGTACACGCAGAGCCAGAAGGTACGTACCTGATCTCCGGGTTCAGGAGACGGTCTGACTTGAGCTGTGGCCAGATCGACCCCGGAGGCGAATACATTCGTGCTTTCGTGCCTGAGCTCGCGAAGGTTAGAGGCCCAGGTTCGCGTTGACATCTCCCTTCTCGGCAGCCAGATGCACTGACGCCCCTGCAGAGATACACAAGCCGCCGCCGGCGCTAGCGGACAAGCTCGGATATCCTCGTGCCCTGGTCGAACATGACATGGCGAGGAAACAGGCCATTGAGCGGTACAAGAACATCGGTAAGAAGTAAGGGGTGCACTCTAGATTCCACGGACGTGAAGTGCAGCCTGCACTATTCCGCAGATGCATGTTTTGATGATTGAGGATAATTGTGTATAGCAAAATGTGTGAAGACAGCAAAATGATAGCGCATGAAGGGGGAGGAAGAGAGAGCTGGCAGAGCGGGTATCACTCGTCCAAATCGAAATCAGAATCGTTATCCTCGGTATCCCTGCTTCGTATGTGCTGCCGCACTGCCGTCTTCGTCCCGTATGTGACGCTTGGCCCGAAAGACTCATCTTTCTGGACTACACCTAAAAATAGAATGAGCTCCGAGTTGATGGTCCCGATACGTATTGCTCACCGCTGTTGATTAGCTTCCACTCCAGTGTGGCCGTCTCGAACTCGTCTGAGTTGCCCAGATCTTCGAAACCGATGAACCTGTACGGATGAAGGGCCTGTGAAGTTGGTGCAATACGCATCGCGGATATGAATACGTACCGGTCTTTGGAAGTTCCGTTAATGAAGGTCATGACACAAGGGAGGACCTTCACACCCAGCCGCTCAACCAGCCACGGAACGTTTTCGACAAAGACGCGGATGAAGAGCGTGCCGAAATACTTCGGCGCGAGCCTCTGTAGGTGCTTATCCATGATCTCGCACCTTTTGAATTTGTGGTGGAAGAAATGGATCACGCAGCGCGGCTCATTCCTGCATGCGGAACGCGATTTCAGCCTTCGTCCTCCTCTCTGCGGAGGAACTTGTGTGTGTAGGCTAACTTACGCGCTTAGCTGGACAACTTCCTTCTCATCCGTCACTTCCCTGTAATGACCATGCCCAACGCTCTTCATCTTCTGCAGCTGTTCCATCCTGCAGGCGCGTGCCACAGCCTAGGTTAGCGAGGACGCGCGTGCCACGACGGATCCATGTTGTAGTGCTAGAGGGGCACCTTACTCTCGTTTGAGCTGCTCCATGCCGTGCTCGCGAAACGCTGCGCTCGAGTCGTTCTCAATTTCCGCCTCCAGTTCGGCGAAGATGTCGTCGTCGTCGATTTCCGTCGCGGGCGTGCGCGAGGAGCCTGCCTCACTTGTGCTGGGCTCGTTCAGGCGCGCGACCAGAGAGGCGACCTTCGCGTTATGTTCTGACATTTTGCCGTGCGCGGTACGTGCGTCGCCGTCCACAAATCGGACAAGTCCAGTAAAGAGTGGGGAAGGATGAAAGCAGCAAGTGGACGCTGTGAATCGCGATCGTCGATCCGCGGGTGCGTGCTGGACGCGGTCCGCCTGTCCGCAATACCCGCATTCGGAAGGTCATTCTCAGGCTGAAACGCTATGTTGCCTGTATCTACAGGGGAAGGTAATTCTCCCGCAAGGTATATAAGAGGTGCAATGAACGAGAGCCCTCCAACCACAACGCTACATTCTACCACCATCTACATCGCAGTGCTTTGCGAACTATACCACATTGCTTGGATACCATGAAGTTAATTGGAAAGCGGATAGAGAAGGACGGATCGGTTCGTCATGCTGTCCAAACTTCAAAGATGCGGGGTCGCTCAACTAACGCATGTCTACACTCAGGGTCGTGTCACTGTCCGCCCCGAGGATGATGAAGACATGTGGCATCTGTATAATATTATTCAGGAGGCACGCCCATTCGGTCTATCATACGCATTGCCTCATGCTGACTTCACTCTTCGCAGGGCGATCGGGTCCGCGCAGCAGGCATGCGCCGCATACAGAATGTCTCAACCACGGGCTCTGTAGATTCAAAGCGGATTCGTCTCAACCTCACGCTCGCCGTCACGAGGGTCACTTGGTCTCCCTCCTCCGCTCCTGGAGCCGAATCGGGCACTAAGAGTGGAGCGCCAAACGCAGCACCGGTCGCAACGGCAAAGGTCGAAGTTACGGGACGCGTTGCGGAGGAAAACCAGCATGTGAAGCTTGGGGCTTTCCATACACTCGACATCGAAGCGAACAAGGATGTCCGCATAGAAAAAGATGCGGGTGGGTGGGACAGTGTTGCCCTGGGACGAGTGGAAGAGAGCTGCGTGCCAGGACGAGGAGCGGAGGTCGCAGCCATCGTCTGTGGTGAAGGTATGTCATCGTATACCTATTTTGCGATTGAACCCTCATGTAGTGACCCACCGACACTCATACTAGGCAGTGCCATCTTCTGTCTACTCTCCGAGCATATGACCACGGTGCTACAGCGGCTAGAAGTACCTATACCCCGCAAAATCTCGACTCAGTCTTCCGCGCATGAGAAGGTATAATGCTCATGCGTGAACAAAGAGACCCAACGACTAAGCTTGTTTCTTGCCAGGGGTTGTCACGATACTACCAAACCCTATATACCTCATTCCTCCGGCACGTCCCATATGCCTCACCTTCCCTGCGCGCTATCGTCATTGCGTCGCCTGGATGGACAAGAGATGCCGTGTTTGACTCTATCATGGCCGAGGCGAGCCGCACCTCAAACAAGGCGCTGTTGGCTGCGCGAAACAAGTTCATCAAGGTACATGTTAACAGCCCACACGTACACAGTCTGGTAGAAGCCCTTAAGAGTCCAGAGGTGAGTCTACATTCTCATACAAGGGTGTGGACGCTCCTGAAGTCCACTCTAGATCGCCAGTCAAATGAAGGAGACGAAGTTCGCACGAGAAGGGATGATGTTGGACAAGTAAGTCCGGTCAGAACACTTAGGTAGTTGAAGGTCGTTCTCATATCTGCCCAGGTTCTTCAAGATGCTTGCCACGGATGAGATGCGGGCATGGTACGGTCCGGACCACGTCGCTCTCGCCGCAGATCGGGGAGCCATCGGCACCCTTCTAATCTCGGACGAGCTGTTCAGGTGAGTCTTGTTGGCGGTGTACATTCGGACGCATCACTGACATATCCGCAGATCAAGCGATGCTGCAACTCGCAAGAAATACGTCAATATCGTCGAAGATGTCCAACAGAAGGGTGGGAAAGTCTTGATCTTCTCTAGTATGCACGAGTCTGGTCGACGTAAGCGATTCGTGACGCTATGACACCATCAATCCATTGCTCATCGTACCGGCATTTTTTAGAACTAAATCAGCTAACCGGCATCGCTGCCATCCTGACCTTCCCGCTGGACATTGAGGTCGTGGAAGCCGAGGAACGGGAAGCGAAGGAGGAGGAAGAGAGGAGGAATGCGGAAGAGAGAGGAACGGAAACATGATTTGACGATATGTATTGCGATGTTACACTATGTCCCACAACTGTAGCGGTAGTAAACATTTACATGCGACACTTACTACTGTATACCTATCTAGTTATCCATAAGTGCTAGTCTCAGTCTGAGATATCGACCCTCTCCCGATATGCTTTCCATCCCTCTGCACGATACCTCTCCGCTTGTGCTCGGACAGCCTCGACATTGGCACCATTGTCTTTCCCGTAAATCCCTCGACCAACGATGATGACGTCGCAGCCGGACTCTACGATTACCTCCCTGGGCGTCCGATATTGCTGGCCCATGCCGTCTCCCCTTGTGTCCAGCCCCACGCCCGGAGTAAGAATGAGTAAGTCCTCGTCTGGCGTGGACTCGCCTTCCCGTAAGCCGACGCCGTCCATCCGTCGCTGGGCGATGAAGCCGATCACGAAGTCGCGATTGGCCCGAGCCATTCGAACCGCCTCCTCCGTGTACACTCCGGTAGCCAGGCTTCCTTTTGTGCTCATCTCAGCGAGCAGCAGGAGCCCTCTCCCGAGTGGAAGTCCGACGGATTTGAGGCCAGAGATGATGGACGGTCCGGGGACTGGATGAGCGTTGGTTATATGCGACCAACTCGCGATCTTGTGAACGCCTGCGGAGTACTGTAGGGCCACGGTATTTCCTACCTTTTCTCAGTATAGCAGAGATATTATGTGGGAAGGACCTCACCGATGTCTGCGAACTTCCTGTCCTCGAAGATCAGGAAGTCATGCTTTTGGCTAAGTTCCTTGAGGCGCTCGATCACGGACGGCTCGAAGTCCTCAATGATATCTACGTGTGTCTTTCATGGCATCGGTTAGCCTTTCGTGAATATTCGCAAAAACTCGATCACCTACCTTCAACAGACATACGTACGGTCCGACGGTGTCGATAATCCTGAAGAAATCCTCTTGTTTGGTGACATCCACACTAACGGAGAGGTTGGTGCGTTTGCGTTCGATCGTCTCGAGGAGCGCCTTTGCAGCAGGGTTTGGGTGCTGGGCAGCCCTTTGCGCGTAAGTCTGCTTGGATACAGACGACATTCTGTTCGTCTCCTGGGTCGTGGTAGATGACTAGAAGGACGTCGGTACATATTGAAAGATTAGATACAGGTCAGATCTGGCGATCTACAAGTGCTACGGTAGCGCGCGATCTAATCTCCTCCCAATTTGCCTCTAGCTCCCGACCATGTCGTCCTCTCCCAAAACACGCCCTCGCGAGTCGGACCTCCCTGACGAGCCCGATGCAAAGCGGACGAAGCTTGAAAGCGCGTCAAACGCGGGTGCAGACGCGCCTATGAGCACGGATCGCGCTGTCGCTGTGGTCAACATCGCCGACCTCGAGGAGCAGGAGAGCATGGACGTCGACGCGGAGGACTCGGAGCCACAGAGTCTGCTTCCACCGAGTCACGCGTTTCTGAACACAAGACCGCCAGTATATGGTCCAGATGGGTCTATGCAGCAGATCATGGAGACGGACGTCGGGATATCCGAGTACATTGGCTTTGACGTGCCAAAGATTGAGGGTATCATCAAGCAGAGGTGCGTAGCATTTATCAGACTCTCAGGTTACCTCTCGTTACGATCAGCGCGTCACTAGATTCACCGATTTCTTGGTGTTTGAGGTCGACCAAGATAGTCAAGTTATACATCTGAAGTCGCTTGGAATGCCTTCATCATCTAAGAAGGGCGGAGCTGCTACAGCTACTGGGGACGCTACGCCTGCTGAGCCTACAGGCGTAGCTACTAGCGAACAAAAGGGTGCTGAGACACTCGCGGCACCAGTGGAGCGGCCTGTGGAGGCCAGTACTACCGAACCCGCACATGAATCTGCTGAGCCAACTGCAGAAGGGGAGGCGAAAGCCGAAGATGAAGAACCACTGCAAGACGATGAACCGTGGCCGGAACGTTTCACAAACTCTCTCAAACCCTTCTTGTCTGAAGAAGTCATCGTTCGCGTTAGAGAACTCTACCTTGAAGGTCCAGAGCCGCCGTTCGTGAGCGACAGTGGTTGGGCTGGAAGGCAAGCGAAAGTAGCTGGCGGGACTGGAACAGTAGCTGGCGAGACTGGGAAGCTAGCTGGCGGGACTGGGGATGCTGCGGAAGCGTCTTCGACACACGAGCCTGCAGAAGAGTCAGAATCGAAGGGAAAGGGCAAGCGAGGGAGGGACCGGGGCAGGGGTGGTAGAGGCGGGAGGGGTGGAAGGGGTGGAGGAAGGGGTGGCAGGCCTGGCGCGAAGGAAGACCACCGTAAAGTGCTCTCTGATGTCCGTACCTCCGCGTTCAATGCTATCCACTCTGAAGACCCCCTCTGACCTCAGACGGAACATAGCCGATTGCCTCCAAAGAAACCCGTACGGGCCTACACCAAATCATACGGGACCTGTTCGGTGGTAAGCTGGACACCGAGACGGACACCACTGCGTCGCCTTCGGACGAAGGTTCGCGTATCGCTATCAAATGGTCGAAGCGTGGGGGAGGAGGTCGAGGAGGTCGTGGCGGTAATCGTGGCGGCGGTCGTGGAGGGAGGACAGAAGTTGGTACGTTTGACATATACAGATTCACTTCGTGCACAATGTGCTCATGGTTGAGCCTTTTAGCGGCAAAGGGGGAGAGGGGGAACTATCCTCCATACATCCACTTCACGCTCCAGAAGACGAACCGTGACACTCAAGACGCCCTCGCCCACCTGTCACGCACGTTGCATTGCAACGTCAAAGATCTCTCCGTGGCGGGGACGAAGGACAAGCGTGGCGTCACCGTACAACGCGTGTCATTACGACGTGGTAACAAGACCGTTGAGGACGTCTGGAAAATGGCTAATGGTCTCAATGGTCGCCGAACGATGGAGGAGGTCATGACACAGCGAGGCGAGCGAGGAGTGAGGATAGCCGACCTGAACTACCGGAAGGCGAGCCTTGAGCTGGGTATGCTCAAGGGCAATGCGTTCGTGATCACGCTCAGGTGTGCAGTTCCTCTGACCTTCTCATGCGGTGATCTCATTAAAGAGCTAGGAATGTGCGCGTTGACTCATTGGAGACCCTGGACCGCGCTATGAATGTTATCAAGACGAAAGGCTTCATCAACTACTATGGTGGGTTGGTGCGGCACTATTCGCAAGTCATGGCGTAATGACTTAGCATCACATAGGTATGCAGCGCTTCGGGACAGCTAGCATCCCCACGCACACGATTGGACTCGCCCTACTGAAGGGAGACTGGCATAGAGCTGTCAGCCTCATTCTCCGTCACCGGCCAGGCGAGCATCCAGATGTCGTCGCAGCACGGAATGCATGGCTGGTAGACAAAGACCTCGACAGAGCACTGGACCTCATGCCCCGACGCGTGGTTGCCGAGCGGTGTATCCTTGAGAGCTACAAAAAGCAGAAGGGCGACACCCGGAACGCGATGGGAGCGCTGTCAACGGTAAGTCTTGCCTGCGGACGGCCCGGCGCTCGACCTGACACGCTTTACAGATCCCTCGCAATCTCAGGCTCATGTATATTCATGCATACCAGTCCTATGTTTGGAATGCCATCGTCTCTGAACGTATCCGGACTTACGGAGCAGAAAAGCCCGTTGTTGGAGACCTGGTCTTTGAAGGAGCATCTTCCGCTAAGGCCGACGCTGACGGGGAAGATGTGGAGATCGCTTTAGATGCTGCCGAAGGCGAGAACTCCCTAGAAGACAAGGTGGCCAATGAGGACAATGGTATGTCTCAGCGTCACTGCCACGACGATTATGGAGACAGACTAACCTCGCTATCTACTAAGCAGGAACTTCGAGCAGATCCAGCAAGAGATCGAGGAAAGCCTGGGAACCGCCAAAGGTCAAGACACTCACCGACGCGGACCTGGACAATTATTCCATATTCGACGTGATCATGCCCTTGCCCGGTAAAGACGTCGACTTCCCGGGTGGCGCTCTCGGCGAACGATACAGGGAGTTCTTGCGCAGAGACGGGCTTGACCCAGACAACTTTGTCCGTAAACAGAAGTGAGTAGTTGCAATGGCTCAAGAGCCATGGTTATTTAACGTCGAATGTTTAGGGACTACACTCTCGGTGGCTCCTACCGCAGTGTTCTCCATCTACCCAAGGAGCTGTCGTGGGCCGTCATGAAGTATACCGATCCAGATGTGCCCCTTGCACAGTCGGATGAGGACAAGCTGCTTGGGTTTCCCCCACCCGTTTCAGATGAGAATGGCAAGTTCATCGCCCTCCAAATCAACTTGCAGCTCGGTACCGCCGCCTACGCTACAATGGCCCTTCGCGAGGTAACCAAGACAGAAACAAGCTCTCATTACCAGACATCTCTCACGCAAGCGTCTGAAGATCAAAAATACCGCACGGCGGATGGCGGCGCGGAAGAGGAAGAAGCAGAGTAGATGCTTATAGCGTGTGGAAAAGCACGTACGTGGAGCCACGTCGCGGCAACCTGGCAACTTGTATCCTGTCTGTATTTCATAGCCTCCCCACGGCTTGCGAATGGATAGATGGCCGCTGTGAGAGTCGAAACAATCTGTGTGAACTTGACAGTATACGCGCGCGAATGCTGCGAAAACCGGTCCCGCTGCCGACTCGGGCGACAGTGGGCCGACAGAGACGTGTCGTTTCAGCCACTGCTGTGCGCTCGCACGAAGCCATTCCCCTGCCTCCCTCGCACAACATGCTCTCGCCCGCTCTCTCACACTTCCGACGATTCTTCGGCACATACCCCTTGATTCTATTCACGTACCTCCCATCAGCTGTTCTTTGAATAAGGTTGGGCTCGAACCCATCTCCGTTCCGACAGTCGCAGGCGGCTAGCAGCGTCTTTATATACGCGACCGGATCCACAGTCGACATAGCGAGACTGCCGCACCTCCCACCCTCTATCACACTCTTCGTCCCCCTTTGTCGCTGTACTATTCTGCAGGATGGGGAAGGTCGAGCGTGTTGTCTTTTTGTCCTTGGTGTTGGACCTCTTCGGTATGTGTGACTCTGAGATAAAGTGCATCCCGAAGCACACAAGAAGTCTTGCATTGACATTCACGTGTCAAAGCTTTCACTATTCCCCTCCCTCTCTTTCCCCGCATCATCGAGTGGTATACGAAGGTATGTAAATCTGTCTAGTTTCGCGCCCAGCGATTCACACAAAGAAATACAGCGCGAATCCTCGGATCTGAATGGCTTTCTGTCCCGAACGCTCTCCCTCGTGTCAGGGTTTCGAAGCTTGTTATACAAGCCCTCATCAAATCCTCAGAAATGGGATATCGTGTTGTTGGGCGGATTGATGGGTTCGGTGTTCTCGTGAGTCTGAACCTGTCTGAGCAAAGTGAACGTGCTGACAGCGCGCTGCCTTCGGCTAGAGCCTTACAATGGTTGGGGTCCCTTACACCTCCATATGAGCGCGAGAGTAACATCTAAGCTTTCAGGTTCATTTCGCCATACATCGGCTCTCTGAGTGACAAGTATGGACGAAAACGCGTTCTGCTCATCACTATGATTGGGAATCTGCTCTCTGCCATAGTGTGAGTGCATCCGTTCTAGTATCCAGCTCCTACTCAACATGAGCACAGATGGCTACAGTCCACATCTTTCGCATCGTATCTGCTCTCCCGAGTCATCGGTGGTCTGAGCGAAGGAAATGTACAACTCGCTATGTGAGTGTCCTTTCCATCGGTACGTGCATCCTCTTACGACGTTCATGTAGCGCTATCTTGTCAGATGTTACTACTCCCGAAACTCGCGCGAAGGCACTCGCTCACGTTGGCATTGCTTTCGCGATTTGCTTCTGCATTGGTCCTCCTATTGGAGCATACTTCGCGTCTCGTCCCTTGCCAAGGTCGATCACCGCATCCGGTTTCGAGCTGAACGTCTACGCGGGACCAGCAGCTTTGACACTCGTCCTACTTACTTTGGAGACAATATTCCTTGTCTTCGCTCTCCCGGAGACGCGTGGTAAAGCTGCTCAGAAGCCTGTCGTGAACGGTTCTGCTAAGGCGGCCGTCAACGGCAAAACGAACGGTACCGCTCGAACTTCAAGACAGGCGACAGTCGCAGAGCGTCTGAAGATGCTCAAGACTTTGCAAAGGCTCCACTTCCTCTTCCTGGGTATTTTCTCTGGCGTTGAGTTCACTCTCACGTTCCTGACGTTCGATTGTGAGTCTCGGCGCATTGCGTTGGCCGGAAGATCATTCTACTCACAACGTGTCCTAGTGTTTGACTGGAATAACAAGCAGAATGGCACACTCATTGGTTCCATCGGAATCATTAGTGCCATACTGCAAGGTGGCTATGTCCGCCGTGCCATGTCGAGAGTCGGAGAGGGGAAGATGGCCCTGCGCGGAATCAGCAGCTGCGCACTGGGATTGATCTTCCTGACAATCCTGCCTCACTTTGTCGAGAGCAGGCCCACTATCGCTGTCCGACTCCTCCAGGCTGCTGCGGTCTGCATGGCGATGACTTCGGCCACGGTCGTGAACTCCCTGACGGCCTTCGCGTCGCTGCAAACCGACGACGTCACCGTCGACTCTGACACCGGAAAGGCTATGAAGGAGCACCCGGACCTTGCGAAGGGCAAGGCCTTGGGCAAGTTCCGCTCTTCTGGCCAACTTGGACGCGCGATTGGTCCTCTGCTTGGTATGTCTTCCTTTCTGTGACAGTGGAACTTCCGAACTGATTAACACAAACAGCGTGCGCGTCATACTGGACCTTCGGTCCCTCCTTGACTTACGCGGTCAGCGCGGTCGCCATGTATGCTCTTGTTGGGTATATGAGACGTGTAACAAGAGGGACCACAATCACGGTGAAGACCCAATAGGTTACCTTATCTTACCATTCCCGTTGCTACTTGTAATGCATACTATCTATTGTACTAAGTTAATAGAATCGCTTATACTGCAACGAGAGTAATCAGAAAGGGACACATGAACTGCAGAACGTCAGACGAAACTCGACGTTGAATTCAGCGCCTATGCTGTGGCGATCCTAGCCCTAGCAGCACTGCTTCTCATGGTACCTCTTACCAAGACTTCCAGGTGGGAGATTCGTGACAGCATACGTGCTGACACTGCATATCGCGCGCGTTGGCAGTGACCTGTAAACCTATAGGCAGAGCACACTACATCGATGCGGTTTTCAACCCGTAATTCGTATTATCTCCGGATTTCTGCAACCACCGTGCTTCCTCTATATGTGAGTACGCAGGAGCACACAACTTTCACGGCGCGTGTTCTGAATGGTGTCTAAAGCTGTATCTAGATGACAGACACGTAGAATGGATGTCAGAACGCGTGCTCCAGCACGTCCTGGCCGACCTGCGTCCCTTGTGAGCCGCTTCGTGTGACACCGCCTTCACTCCGTTCACGCTGAAGACGTGGGTAGAATCATACCGAAGCTCAATGCTGAAGCCGACGCGCAGCTAGGCCCTGGTGGAACCACCAACGCCAAGCGAGGCACTCTGGACGTGCATCGTGGAGGTTAGTAGAGTTCTGTCGACATCAAAGGCGCGGGGGTGTATGCCACAGATACTGATCCTTGGCCCTGGCAGATACTTACCAGTTTGGATACTTCCTGCGCGGAACTGAACCTCATGCAGTCCTTATCAAGGTAAGTCGCTCCTGCGCCGACATGGAAATGCTTGATACTGATTATGTTCATACAGTCAAGGGTGTTCACCGCCGCACCCCCGCGTCCTCCGCGTGTCGTACCGCCGGTCGTCCAAGAGAGCATGCAGACTTCTACTAAAGGAGGTACACGATCCAAGAAGTCTCGTACTGAGTCACAGAAGACGGCCAAGAAGCCGGAGCCTAGGCCCAGGGGCAAGGGAAAAGGCAAAGGCAAGGGCAAAGGCAAAGGCAAGGGCAAAGGCAAAGGCACGGCTGCCGATGACGAAGAGGAGGCAATATCTATCTCGAGTGACGACGGGGACGCTGCGGAAGATGCACCCGAACCCCTGGCCCCCAGACGATCCAAGAGAGCGAGGACAGTCGTTGCAGGGGGCTATCGAGAGGACGCAGACGATGATGATGGGATGTATGACGGCGAATCTCCCCCGACCCAGGGCGGGCCTCCTGGTGCTGCTGAGTGTGATGACGACTACGGCCCTTTACACGTTGGGACAGCTAGTCGAGATGCTTCTGTCGTACCCAAGCGCGAGGAGATGGAGCCATCGTTGGCTGCAGAGGACCTTCCTGAAGCGGCATCTTTTGAAATCAACGAGGGGGAAGCGCAGGCTGCCCCGTCGACCATCGATGTGGAGTTGGTAGAGGAAGAGGAGGAAGCTAAGCCGAAGCCCATCCTCAAGTTGCAATACCACGGCTTCACCATCCACGGACGCTGTCTTTGCGTTATCGTCGAGCCGTATCCCCCTCTCCGCTCAGGGACTCGCGCACCATCGCTTGCCCCCACAGGCCTCATCGCCCCCGGCCGAGCCCCGAGCATGGCTCCTCCGGAGTTTGTATCTGGTGGTGGCGCCGCTCAGCGCGCACGCACGCCCTTGTTCCTACCTGACTATGATAGGGACTCCACTCCTGCACCATCCACGACGCGCACTTTGCCTCCCGTGCCTCTGTTCTCGGAGACCGCAGAAGGTAGCGACGAGGAGGATGGGGGGATGGTGCTCTTCAGTCAGATCCTACGGTCCGTAGGTGACCATCCGCCTGGGATCGCAGAGGACGATGACGAGATCGACGGCGCGGTGTTCTTCGGAGACGCGGATGAGATGAAGGAATTATGATCAATATGTACGGGTTGAGTGTATGCAAGCGATATACGAATGTAACTCTACATGCGGCCCATCTCTTTGAGAATGTCGATCGCGCGCTGCGAGGAGACCCTCCTGAACCCTTCGTTTGCCATCTGGAACAGGCCATGTCCGCCTGACAACGCACGAAGACGGCTAGAGTAGTCGAGCATCTGACTCAACGGCGCGATGGCCAAGATAGTCCTCTTCAGCTTGGCCGAGGTGTCCTTCGCGGCCTTGCCGGTTGATGGGGATATCCACTGAGGCGGGATGTACGTTGCGTCATCCTCAAAAGGCTCTGCCTCCTCCGCCGCCGCCGCGTCCAGCTCCAATACTTCTCCGCCGTGCTCGCCGAGATCCTCCACGACGCGCCCGACAGAGCCTTCGTCGACGGAGATCTTCAGCCGTATGTAGGGCTCCATGAGGTCCCCCCGCCCAGCCGCACGGACTATGTTGCGCAGAATTGTGGCACTAGCGCCTGCCAACACAGAAGGATGCGCCTCCTTGGGGAACTCGATATCACGGACCTGTATGCGAAGTCGCGAGAGCGCCAGCGTAGTGTTTGGAGAGCTCGACAGAGTGCTAGAGAGGCCCTTCGCGACTTGTGCCAGGGGGTCGTTCGCATCGCTGTGTAGCTCCCCAGGGGGCGTAGGCTTGCCCTTGGGGTCTAAGACAATGTTGCCGTCCCAGAGCGGATCGCCCTCTTCGTCGTCCTCAAGCGCCCGGACAGACAGTCCTACCTTGACCTGAGTGGACTGTCCGCCGATGTCCGTCGACCACTTGTCGCCGACTCCGGAAATGTCGCCGGAGCCGAGACACTCCCGGAAGCTGACGCGCCGTTTGCCGAACTCGAAGTTGACCTTCCACTCGTCACGCAGGCGGGACTCGACGATCTCGAGGTGAAGAGCGCCAAGTCCGTGGACGAGCAGCTGCCCTTCCTGCGTCTCGAACCGGACGGAAGGGTCTGTACGAGCGAGCGCACTTAGAGCGCTCTCGACGGGCTCGAGATCGGCGTGAGAGTGGGGGATGACCGAGACGGACATCATTGCCGAGGGAGGGATAATGTCGCGCATAGATGTTGCACTGGAACCCCCCGCAACACCGACGAGGGTGTCACCGGTACGGGTGTACTTGAGGCCCAAAACGGCACCGACGGACCCAGGGGGCAGCGAGTCAACTTCTTGAGCCTCTGCAGCGTAGAGGAGCATCAGTTTCGAGACCTTCTCTCGCTGGTTCTGGGAGGCGTTGAGTATCGAGCTCTGGCTCTTCAGTGTTCCTGCAAACCTCGTAAGCTATGTCGCACTCTCTGGTGTCAACGGTGAGAACCACGTACCAGCGTAGACGCGGACAAAGGTCATCCATCCCTTACGTTTATCCCAGCCGACCTTCCAGGCGAGCATGCGCAGCGGAGCGTTTGCGGCAAGTGCCTTGGGATTGGGCTCGACATCCACAGGACTAGGGAGCAACTCGCCGACGTAGTTCATTAAGAGCTCTGTGCCGATATGCTTGAACGCAGAACCGCATAGGACAGGCAGAATGTCGTTGCGCAGGGTTGCTGCACGCAAGTGAGGCAGGATGTCGGCAGCCTGGACAGACAGATACGACGACGGGTCCTCTGGTAGACTGAGGAGCGTCTCGAAGAGATCCTCAGATACTTGCGCAAGGTTGTCGAGCATGGTAACACGTGCGGGGAGAAGGTGAGGTACCAGCGGGTGCGATCGAGGGAAGAGCTCGGAGCGTTCAAGCTCCTCCTGAGTCCGGGGCAAGGGATGGACGGTAGGTGCACCGTCCGCGCCGTATTTCCAAACTTCCCACTTGACGAGGTCGACCAAGCCTTGCACTCCGGGTTCCGCCCGCGTATAGTCCTGGGGGTCAAACGAGGCAATGGGTAATGCTAGAGCCATTGGTCTCGGATGGAGACGATTGGCCAGGACGGAGAGCATGGATGTCCGGAACGATGCGCCAGCTCGATCCAATTTATTAAGGAACAGTATCCTAGACTTCACGTCGTACCTGCAGAAGGTTGAGTACAGTTCGCGGGCCACCTTGGTATCTCTCACCTGGACGCTTCTGCTTACCTGTCCAATTGCCGCCAGACACCCTTCGTCTGAGCTTCTACGCCCTCCACTGAGTCGATGAGCACGACCGCACCGTCGACCACGCGACTAGCGCTCTCCACCTCCATTCCGAAATCGGCGTGTCCAGGTGTATCGATCAGGTTAAACGTCCAGTCCTTCCACCTGACAGGGATGCTCGCGGACTGTATTGTGATTCCACGTTCACGTTCCGCAGGTAGGAAATCCGTGATGGTACTTCCGGTATCAACGGAACCTGCAGAAGATAGATAGTGGGACTGGAGTAGGATGGACTCCGTGAGCGTTGTTTTGCCGGAATCTGGTCACTAGCTCTTAGTCTCGGATGTGCGATGGCATTGCTCCCAACGTACCAATGTGGGCTACGAGAGCCATGTTCCGCAATCTAGATGGATCATGGTTGACTTGCGTAGCATATCGCCTGAGGCCATCGCGTGCTGGCATCCATCTCTGTAGGCCACGATGTCGAAGTGCCAAAGCGAGACGAGTAACCATGACACGCCTGCGGTGGGAAAGGCGGGGCGTTCCCTGAGTACGCGTTCCTCGCGCGCCTCAAATACTGTATTCAGACCAGCGGCAACCGCAGCAAGTCAGGGCGAGAAGAAAAGATCGACGGCCTGTCAAAGACGAGGATGCAGTAGCACTGGCAGGAGAAAGGGCGGAGGGAGAAAGAAGCCGCGCGGGCGCTTCCTGCGGCTTGTCTCAGGCGTTCATTCATCTACTTGCGCCAATTGTTTGCGAACATGCCCGCAACCTCACTCCTTCTCATCCACCCATGTCCGCCACGCCAGAGCCAGAAGAAGACGGCTTTGACAAACGTCTCCGCCAACGAGTAGCGGCGAAGAGGGACCCGCTTGACACCGTTCCCCCAGACCCTGCTCACCAGCCCCGCGGACTCATCCCGAACACGCCCCTCTCCGTGTCACTCATATCGTTTCTCCTCGGCTCTCTGTTCTCCTTCGGGCTCTTACTATTTGTGACGAATGGCTATGGGCTGTACTGGTGGGCGACATATCAGCTCGGTTTCTTCCTCGCTATCTGGTCAGCGTTTCACTGGGCCGAATTCGCTGTCACGGCAGGCTGGAATCGAGACAAATGCAGCGTAGATTGTGAGCAGCCCTTGGCCATCAGCAGCCCTTGTTTTATTGACTGTTCGTGCTTTAGCGTTCTTGCTAGAGAACGGTGCCATGTATCACGTGGCGCATAGCGTCGCACTCATTGAGTACCTGCTAACGCTGTACTTCGAACCTGGGTATAAACAGTGGCCTTATGTTTCCCTCGTCGGTGAGTTGCGCGTTCCGCGATGTATCTCATGTTGAGCTTATCATGTCGCCTATATAGGTATCGCGCTCGTCTTAGTCGGGCAGACCCTCAGGTCCACCGCCATGATCCATGCAGGATCGAACTTCTCCCACATGTTAGCCTATCGGAAGATTGATGGGCACACTTTGGTCACCGGAGGGGTCTATCGGTGAGCGCTCTATGTTTGCCTTCGCCGACTCCTGACCTGAGTCACAAATTTAGATGGTTGCGACACCCTTCATACGCAGGGTTTCTCTACTGGGCATTGGGCACTCAGCTTGTTCTGCAGAATCCAGTCAGCTTTGCGTTCTTCCTGGTCGTACTATGGAGATTTTTCCACAGTCGCATAAAAAGTATGTACTCTGTTCAACTACAACCCCTTCGACACTGACGTCGCCTCCAGCTGAAGAGCAGTACTTAATTCGATTTTTCGGCGACGACTATCGCACCTACAAATGTTCCGTGGGTACAATGATTCCCTTCATACCTTGACATGCCCTTTCTGTCAGGGACGGGATGTGATTTTCCAGTACAATTGTATCATAGTCTTCAATCGCACTTTGTCCTAAAATGAAAGTCTCGTGACAGTACAAAAATGTCGGCATGCATCATATTGTGTTCATAGCAGAGGTGATAACACGCAAGTTTTGAGCCGAAAGACGATACAACATAACGCCAGCAACCGCGACTTGCTCAATCCTGCTCGACCGTCCCCTTCTCCGAGACGTAGATACCGTCGAGGAACTTACGGATATCCTTGTTCCGCACACGGCAGAGACCTTGAATCGACGCGGCTGTCCCGACAAACTCAGTAAACCGGCAGAGCGTTCCAACATTGTGTACTTACCGGACTGTGACACGTTCTGAACGTCGATACCCTCGAGGATGAGCTCGTCCTTCTGTGATTTTGACTCTGAGACGGTGACACCATCCAACATCGCAACATTCCGTACGATCTGACCGGCGGCTTAGATGGGACGACCATAATGATTGTAGAACGAACTAACCTTCTCGCCCAAGAAGTTACGGATTTCCAGCGCACGACCACCATCCTGAACAATGCAGTTGATGGGGAAATGGGCGTACACAGCACGCATCTTGTACCGGAAGCCCTATGAATACGCAACCAGTCGTACAAGATCTTCGCGTAAGTATTGGATACCACAGACATACCTTCGTGACACCGGTGATCATGTTGACAATGAGGGACCGGATTGTTCGTAGGCACGCAACGTGCTTACGGCCGCCCTGCCATACCGCGAGCGCGACCTTGTTGGTCTTGCCCTTCTGGAGCCGGATGTCCATGTCGATGTGACGGACATTCTTCGTCAGCGTTCCGCGGGGGCCCTTGACGGTGATGAGGCGGGACTTGATATCGACAGTGACCCCCTCGGGAATGTCGAGTTCTTCGGTCTTGAGGACGTCCCGCATCTGCAGCAGAGTAGCAAGTCGTAAGCGTCCAATCGAGCCGCATCCAGACACCACGAAAGCAATCCATCCCAATCCTGCAGGACTTTCAGTGACTCCAAGTGATCCAGACTTCCGTGGGATGGTTCCCGAGCCTGCAGAACGGATTACGGGCAGTATACTGACCTTGAAGCGTAGTAGGCGAAGGTCTTGAGGAGGTTGGTGTATATTTTTGCGGAGAAGGCGAAACTCCAGGGACGGGCGCTGGGCGTGCCGAATTGGGAAGCTGGGGACTGGGTCGAGGTCTGCCCATGCAACGTGGCAACATTGACAAAGCAAGCAGTTGCGTGGCGGAGTTCAAATCGGACCCAAGTTAGCTGGCTTGCGCGCCAGCCCCTTCTTCCCTAACTTCATCATCGACCACCATCTCCTTGCGCCCTCGGTGCGACCCCGTCAGGCTTGCTGTTTGCAGCAACTGTAAGAGACAGTTTGAGAAAGACATAACAACAGAGCCTCCGGTAACCCGTATTCGGGACGCATATACGAGCTCTTTGGTCGTCTCCTCTCAGCATAGTCCACCATCGGTTGAATCGAAATTGGTCAACTCCCGTTTATCTGCTGCCTTTCCTTGAGCTGGTTCCGCGATGTCGCTCTATCCACAGACGACGACATATACCCAGATGCCCTACCCAGCCCAGGGCTATGGGGCAGCCGTCCCGCCTCAGCCCTCGTACTACCCGCCTCCCCCCGCTCCTCAGCCGGTCTTCCACCTCGACCCCAACATGTTCCGACGTGACTATATGACGAGGCTGGCTAACTTGACAGTTAATTCCAGACCGATCATCCAGACCCTCTCGTTGATTGCGCAGGACTATAGTCGCTATGCAGATGTCGTCGTGCAATGCATCGAACAACATATCCGAAGGGTGAGTCATCCCTTCCTACCCTCGTCTTTTGTTCCTCGAACGCTATTGCTCTATAAGCTCGCTCGCTGTCAAAGCTCTGGTGTAGATACGCTTGTCTATCATGTATCGTAGTGAGTGGTTGCGACCTGAGCAAAGAGACCGCCCTCGTTTGAAGAGGGTCGCCTGGGTCGTGGCCTCGGAATGCGTGTTGCCCGGCATGGCTTCCAGGTCGCTTGTTCCGAGAACAGCCGCTGCTGCGTTACGTACGCCCCGGTCGTTTTCCTCGCATCGAACTTCCCGCGCCTCATGTTGCTGCTGTCTACTTCTGGGCTGTGTTGAACTCTGGGATGCTGACTCATCATTCGCCTGTTATGGCATTGTTTCGTTAGGTGCCGCCGTGGATGAAGTTACCATCGTTTTACTTGTTGGACGCCATATCGAAGAATGTCTACGATCCATACGCCCGCCATTTCACCCCGATCGTCGTTCGTCTATTCCTCGATACTTATGAGGTCGTCGACCAACAGACTCGAAGCAAGATGGAGGAGATGCTGTTGACTTGGCGGACAGCTTCCCCTACCGGCCGAGAGCTCTTCGGGGTCGTCTCTCAGCTTGCGATCGAGCGTCACATATGGGGAGGCGATTCTACTCAGAATGCTGTACGTAGTCAGATGCGCCGCTCTATCCCTCGTCCTGATGGACGCTTCCAGCAGTCCGGTAGTCGTGACAGCGGATCTATCTCACAAGCACAAGTCCTAAGCGAACTTGAATTCGTTCTCGGCCAGAAGGAGCGGCTACTGCTATCCAGCCCCCATGACGACTTGACCAAACATCATATTGGTATACTTCAGCAAGTATGTCAATCATGTCATTTCATTCGAAATATATGCTCACGTGCTGATCATCACAGCTTCGTGGAATGGTGCAAGTAGGCGTGCCTCAACGAGATCTTCAAGCTATCCTCACCCAACTTCGAGCTTTGACGACTCCATCTCCGCCTCCGGCGCCCGCTCCTCAGCCGTACGGTGCACTCCCATCCTACTCTCCGCCTCCCTCCATCACCGGCCGCGTGATTGCGCCACAGCCTCCTTATCAGTCTCAGCCGGCATACCCTGTCAATTACGAGCAACCTAAGCAGGAGGCAATGGATATATCTCGTTTCCTTCATGCTGCTGCCCCCGTTGCCTCGACTTCGACTACCCCGTCTGTGTCGATGCCTGATATTAGCGGGATTTTCAGCGCTCTCTTAAAGGCTGGTGTGGTCTCGGCTTCAAGCACATCTACTGGCGCTGGCGCAAGCTCGAAGCACGAAGAACCGAACGAGCCTGCGGACCCCGAACGTCAAGCGCGACGAGCGTATCGGAAACTAATCCTGTCGACGAAAATCAAATTGACAAGCTCTGATGTCACCAGGTAAGTGTTGCGCCGATAGCCAAAACCCTGATGGACAACTGAGTAACAATCGTAGACAACGTCCGAGAATCACCGACATATTGTACGACCGTTTGCCTACGCAATGCAAGCAATGCGGCTACCGGTTCTCCGACAATTCCGTTGGCAAGAAGTTGTTCGAGGAGCATCTCGACATGCACTTCCGTCAAAATCGCAAGGCGACGCAAGCAGTCGGTCGCGGGCACAGCCGAAGCTGGTTTGTCAGCCTGGAGGTACGTATTTAATCCTTCAACATGACGAAATCACCGATGCTAAAATGTTATATAGGATTGGGTTAGCGCTGACTCCGGTGATAGCAAGGGCAAAGGTCGTGCCGACGGTCGGACGGTCAGTTCCAAGGCTGTGGCTGCAAAAGAAGCTGCAAAGCGTGAGGCTGAGCTGAGGGCGATGTTTGTTGTCGTACCCCCTGGCGATGAGGCGAAGGCGATATCATGTCCGATCTGTAAGGAGCCACTTAAGTCTGAGTTCCTTGAGGACGACGAGGAGTGGGTGTGGCGAAATGCTGTAAAGAAGGATGATAGGGTAAGTGATTGTTGGCATACGCTTGTCTTTGCGCGTGATGCTAACGTTGTCAACCTCTGTACTAGATTTACCATGCAACATGCCATGCGGAGGCAATTGCGTCGAAATCGAACTTAGCCGTACGTTTACTGGGTGAGGGGACGAGCCGTAGCAGGTCGAAGACCCCTGAGAAGGCGACCCCTCCGAGAGCGCACGCGACATCGAACGGCGAGTTGAGGCAGTCCGAGACGCCAACGCCGTCGAAGCTAGCAGGTATGAAGCGTAAAGCTGAAGACGATCACGCTACTGCTGTCAAGCACGAGGGCGATGGGCCACAGGCAAAGCGAGTAGCGACATAACGTCCGCAGAGTTCGCGATCTCTGCTTGGTGTCGATATCGTTGGACTCGAGCATGCATCACCGCCTACATTGGAGCACACAGCATACATGGACCGCTCGCATACTTTATACGTTTCTTTATTGTTGAGGTTTTCTGCGCAATGTATCATGACTACACACGTGAATACCAATACAGCATCGTTATAGATTTACTCGACCCCTCCGTTGCTCAAAAACGTTTATGACTCCACGCAACAGGCTGCGTAACCACATACTCACGCCCTCGATTGATGGCGAAGCTCAGCGTCCCCGGCAAGTAGGAGTTGGCGGAGGGCAATGCTCGAGATTACGCATATTGCAGAGCCTTGAAAGGACTCATTTTGTGCGCGCCGAACAACAGCTGAAAACTTAAGATACCTGAAGTATGATCCATCCATAATGCCCAAGGAAAGGCCCTTTTTGCAGAGGCTACTGAAAACTAAGAATAGGATATTCAGCGTCCCTTGCGATTACCGTCTGCGTAATTGTATCGTAAGTGAAAGCGAGCGCGCTGCTGCGTAGCCTGCTCAGGCTACGCCCAGCTCTAAACTCTCTGGCGTTGTTCGAAGTGCGATCGCGATCGATTTTCCTACGTCCCGAACAGCCGTCGACAACTCGAGACGCTTTCTGTCCTAGACCACCATCTCGCCACCTCATTCTGTCATCATCCTTTCCCTTTGTTTAGCTGTTCGCTCAATTGCGTTCATCCCTGGGTGAGTGGCATCAGCCCGCGAGTACTCATCTCACTACAGCGCGCCTCAATTTATGCTGCCTGCCGTAACTAACGAACGGTAAGGCAGAGCCGCCTCTATCCGACTACGTATACAATTGTGGTCACAAGCCAGTGGCTATGGTCTTATACCTTCCATATCCTCGGCATACAGTGCTATGACCACTTCTACCACCGCGCCACCGTATGACAGTACGGTGGAGCAGCTATACCATGCTGCAAACGATGTTGAAATGCAGGTACGCCACTGTTGTCGGAGCCGGTCGCAGTCGTAGGTAACCACGAGAATCCGCCGGCAGGACGCATTCCCAACGAACAAGATCTATTTTTACATAGTTATCGATACGAACGTACTCATCGACTACTGTGGCATCATCGAGCAATTCTGCTTCGACGTCGAGAAGGCGGGTCACCCAATCATGGTCGTCATACCCAGTGTCGTCCTAGGGGAGCTAGATGGGTATGTTGCCGGACTCTCGAGCAGGACAACGGGATGCTATATACTGAACCATCTGGACGTGGCGCAGGCTCAAAAACCGGCCCGAGCTGCAGTGGTTTGCGCGGCAGGCGACCACATGGCTCCTGAAGAAGGTCAAGGAGAGGACGACGGTTAAGCTTCAGTCAGCGAAAGAGACACTCAGCCCCGGGGCGCGCACCGAGTCCGATGAGATTCGGAGGAACGACCTCGCCATCCGGGACTGTTGCCTGTACTTCGCCGACAGGAGCAGAGGCTTCGGCGCGCTCCTGGTTACCTTGGACAAGAACCTCAACCTTGAATGTCATAAAGAAGGTGGGTTCGGATGCCGGAGGCCTCCGTCGGTCAGCCTCCGCACGTCAGCGAAACGCGTCGTTCGGGGGCGGCCCTCTCATACGGATGACCAGCGTGCTGACGATGGCACCGCTACCTCTTCGCATCAGATATCGATGTTTGCTTGCCCCCGCAACGCAGCTGGTCAAGTCGCCTCCTGGCGAAGGCGCTGCCTGTGGCGGGGGTGAAGGTAGAGATATTCCAAGATCGAGAAGCGTTTCCGCGCTACCGCCCGTCTAAGACGCGTCAACGGCTCGGCCATACTGAGGGGCCTGCTGCGCTAGCACCGCGTCTGGCGATCGAGGACGTGGATATGATGGATGTAGACGACGCGGCGGGTCCGGATGCGTCGGAGGAATACGTTCCGCTGCATGCTCGGGATTCCCTGCATGCGCAGATAGCGGAGCACTTCACGCTTGTGCTGCGGGACTTGGCGCGCCGCGTACATCACGAGTGCAGAGAACCTTTGACGGTGTCCAACTCGGCGCACGCTCCGGCGTATAGGCGGACTGCGCTCTCGTCATGGACGGCCGCGGCATGCTTCAGCTATTTGGAGACGAAGAAGGCGTTCGGGCGCGAGGCGTGGATGCCGTACTTCTTCGCTCGGCGGGGGGAGCACGGGTGGCGCAAGGGGCAGGACTGGCCTCCCAGGATGTGGAATATGGCGCTGGATATGTTGGAGGAGGTCGGGCGCAAGTTTGGGGATGGGGCACTGCTGAGTTCTGTAGCTGCGGTTCGGCCTCATGTGCAGGAGGTGTGGGAGGCGAAGCTGCGCCCAATCTAGCTCTGCTATAATTGGATGAATGGAGCCCGGGAGACAGCACACCGAGTTATGGAGGGTGCGGACGCAAGTTTCGGATGTTATGCCGGCGACACGTAAGGATAGCTTTGGTGTCGGCGCGATAGACGAATGCATTGACTGCCTGATCGAGGAGCGAGGCGTCGGGAGTCGGTTGATCAAGAAAGTACTGCCAAGCGATGCAAGCGCCGGCTAGAAGCTCGGCTGTTGCATCTGAAAACCATCCGGCTCTGTTTGTTGGTGTCGTTGCTGCGACGGACAACCTGGTCCTGGGAGGGCTGCTGCAGCGTCCGCAGAGAAAAAGTGTGTGTTGTAATGGATGGAGTGGGCGAGAATGAAATGATAGGTAGTGGACAGCCTCTTGGCAGGCTGCGGGGCGGCACCAAAAAGGGAGAGAACTCAGAGGGCGACTCCAGTCGAGCTCCCGTGCCTGGCAGGTCCGGCTACAGTCCCACCAACAAGAACGTATCCTTCCCTCCCTTGCCACTACCCCCCTTCCTTTCCTTCCTACCCTCCCTTTCTCTCCTCCCGTCCGCCCCCCATGCTCCGGCGACGGACCGTCTACACGCTCCTCTGCCTCCTCGCCACCATCCTCGTTGGCACGGTCGTCGTCCTCTCCTCTATCTCATACTACCTCTCCATCGATTATGCTGCCTACATAACCGAAGACGAGGTCAACCTCGTTCTCAACGACTCCCAGCATGCCCTCCCAGAACGAATTCCACGGATTATCCACCAGACATGGAAGTCGGAAACCCTCCCGACCAAGTGGGCCAACGTCTCTCAGGGCTGTCGCGATGTGATGCCGGACTAGTGCGTATCCATCTCCGTTCGTATCTTACAGCGACCCTCACATATCTCTAGCGAGTACAAGCTGTGGACCGACGCAAGTGCTCGTGAATTCATCGCTCAACACTACAGCTGGTTCCTCGATACTTTCGACGGATACACCTACCCCATTCAACGCGCCGATGCCATTCGCTACTTCGTGCTATACCACTATGGCGGCGTATACATCGATCTCGACATGGGTTGCCTCCGAAGAATGGATCCTCTCTTGGTGCACTCTGTCATCCTCCCCAGAACCATACCTGTCGGTGTATCCAACGACCTCATGTTTGCCGAGAAGGGACACCCCTTCCTCGCACAGACGATCCACAACCTCATGAAGTTCGACTACAGCTGGGTCTTGAACTACCCCACCGTCATGTTCTCGACCGGCCCCATGTTCCTGTCTGCTCAGTACGGAGCCTGGACCTCCATCCATCCTCCCACCCCTGACCAGCCAGGAGGCGAAGTTCGTATCCTCCCGAAACCGCTCTACGGGAAGAACGCTAAGCCAGGCGAGGCTCCCCACTCGTTCTTCTCGCACTACTACGGAAGTAGCTGGCACGCAGACGACGCCGCATTCATCGGGTTCCTCGGCAAGTGGGGCAAGGGTCTCATGTGGATCGGTTTGGTTGTCCTCGTCGCGGGCCTCGTCCGCATGGCCCTCGCACCGAGCCCCAAGTCGCGCAACTTCCCCCGCATCGCTGGATACGAGGTTCTGATGCCGCGCTGGACGCAGAGGAACGGCAGATGGTACCTCGACATTGGCTGGTTCGCACTGCCGGCATCAGGCATCAGCACACACCCACCTTCGCCCATCACGCTCCCCAGCCCCAGCACCACCGACGACGAAGACGTACAATTGCTACCGTTCTACGACTCGTCTCGCTCGACATCCCCCACGCCATCCGAGATGTCGCTCGGCGTGGACCTCTACAACTCGCCTAGTGGCAACTCGATCGTTGACAGGGTACGACGCGCAGGCACTCGTGTCATGGACTCCGTCTTCGGCACGGAGGAGCCACCATCAACGCCCTCGCGTTCGCGCCGACGCCGTATGCGCTCGCGCGGCGTGCTCTTCTTCCTCCCCGCGTTCTTCGCGCCTGAGCAGAACCAGGTGGAGACGCTCGCCTTCACGCCGCACGCGCGGAGCTCGTCTTTCGCCCGTCCGCACGCTGTAGACAGCTATCCGGTGTCGTCACTACCACCAGAGAAGCAGCGCTACGCTTCTGAGCTTGCCGCCGCTGGGCTGCTGCCCGTCGTCGACAGCCGCGGACGCACAGGAGGCTCGTCCTCCGACGTCTCCTCTCCGTCATCCACGATCTGTTAGCCAGGCCGGCCCCGGACTGGGTGCGGCGCGCCAGGTGCTGCGGAACGTCCGGGAAGGCGCGAGGGGTGGGACTTTGGGAGGTTCTGGTCATGAGAAGAAGTTGGAGCAGGAGAGGAAGAGACGATGAGCGTGAGACGTACGTCACGTCATGTTTTGGAGGACAGAACCTGCGGGGAGTGTGGGCGGACCGGTCCTGCCATGCCTGCCGCCGACGAGCAGTTGAGAGCTCGACGCTCGACGCTCCGGGACAGGCGTGAGACAGAGACACCGGGCCTGTACCGTACATCCCCGCTCGCACGACGCCCCGTGCGTAGGAGGGCGCACGGGGCGGTGGGTATACCATTCCCTCCTTGAGTACCCCATCGCGCTGCGCGAGACACCGCTGGCCGGGCGTTCGCTCGTGGGACGCTGCATTGCATGCAGCGGCTCGGCGGGCGGACGCTGCCCTCAATCACTGCAGGTCGGCCGGCGCGCAGCGCAGAAGTTGTTCATCACCAGTCGTGTTTGCGTTTGCGTTCGTACGTTGTGCATCTGTCGCTTCCGCTCGTTGCCCGCGCACGCTCATTCGCTTCCCAGTCCGCCGCCCGTTGTCGTACTCGTACTCATAATCGTGCAGTCGCCGCCGTGTCTGTTCGTGCGCAACTGTGTGTTCATGCTTTGTGCGCTTTCTTGCTACGTTTTCTTTCGTCCTGCGATAGACGCTGTTTATTCCTCATTGTGCGTTTCTCCCCTCCCCGTCTCCGTATTCATTATTATTTCACACAAACGTATGGACGACAAATGGGTCCCTAATCATACATTGTGGCTGGCGGCGACGTGCTGTGCGGCTAGCCAGATGTTCACAGTAGAAGTAGTTTACGTACACGCATATACGAATGTTTGGACAACCCATCTCCTGAATGTGTGCGAAAAACCGATGGTGCCTGGCTGTTCCGACATGTTGAGAAAAGTGCTGCCAGACTGCAATAACGAATCAGCAACGTTCTTGCTCATCATTCGCGATAGACCGATAGCAGAACTCCAGACCTCCCGACTACAATTTCTCACACGGAGCAATACAGGTCCTATGCCGTATTAGAGCGCGAGTGACTGAACAGTTGAGGTATCTGTCTGCGCATTGGATAGTACAGGCTGCCCGACTGCCCACAACGACAGCCCGGCGCAATTCCAGGGATACCGTACATACATCGTACATTATGTTGAGCACTGCCTCTCCTTGTTTGCCGTAGCTTCATCCAACGTCGCCTGCATTCAGACCGCATCCCCGCTACCGTGTCCACATATCATGGAGCCGAAGCCTCAGGTCACAGTCACCACCTATAGCAGGTCAGCGGGGCTGACGTCGGGCCCAGAAATGACAGCCTTGATGACCGGCTTGCCGTCGGGGCTCTTGCCTGCCCGCGTCGCCTGGAAAGCTTCGACGGCCTGGTCGAACGAGTAGCGGTGAGTGACAAGGGGCTTGAGGTCGATGCGGCCCTGCGAGACGAGGGCGATGGCGAGCTGATAGTCACCAGGCTAATGGCAGGAAAGGAGACGAGATGGTCAGAGTGGATGTCGCGGAACGCGGGGCGAGGGACGTACGCCATAGCGGAACGAGCCTTTGAAGTCGATCTCCTTCACGAGCAGCGTCGTGATTGGGATCACGATCTCCGGTGCGCCCATCCCGACCTATACAAGCAAACAACGCGTCCCAAGTCAGCAGACGGTCTGAGATACCTGAACACAGTCGCCGCGAAGGAACTCGAGCCCACCTGGACGTAACGCCCACCGTGCTTCGCAATGTAGATGCCGGTCTGGATGGACACCTCCGCGCCCGACGCGTCGACGATGAGGTCGACGGCCTTCAGGCCGCGCTCCTCCAGTCCAAGCTGCGTCTGCATCTGCTTCGCGTTGCGCCTCGAGTACTCGATGCGCGACTCGCCCTCCTGGAACTGCGGGGGGAGGTACGTGTCCGTCGCCGCGTACGACTTGGCGAACTCGAGGCGGGAGGGCACGATGTCGACCGCGATGACGCGCGCAGCGCCAAGGGCGCGTGCGACGGCCATGCAGAGGAGGCCGACGGGTCCGGCGCCGAAAACGACCACAGTCTCGGCGGGCTTGAGGCCGGCGACGTTCGCCACAGAGTGGATCGCGACCGAAAGAGGCTCCATCTGAGATGTGAGAGCGTGTACGAGCAGTTAGCACATGAAGATCAACGAGGAGAGGGTGCGTTCATTCAACTGACCATGGCACCATCCTCGAGAGTGAGGTTGTCCGGCAGCTTGTAGCAAAGATCGG